AATAAATTAGCTTATATATAACACAATATTTATAATATATAATTACCTATATAATTATATAATTTATTCAGTATCAACAAGCTTGAAAAAAAAAAAAAAAATAAAAAAATTTATTTTTCTATTTCAAAAAAAATTATTCTTTCTTTCCTTATTTATTTATTTATGCAAAACTGAAGCTTGGATCAGCTTTAATTTAATTTCTTTTGAAAATTTTACGTTGATATTGAAACAATAGTTGTAAAATTTTTCCCTAAATTATTTATTGTTATAATATTTTTTTAATTCACTAAAAAAATATTATAAAAGAATATTTCAAGTAATCGTAGTGATAGAAAGTCAATTTTTTTTTCTCATTTCGAGTTGGCGCATTAGTTGTTAATATAGGAATAAAAAAAAAGTATACGATTATATCACAAAGTTTCGCGTGAATTTATAGTGAAGAAATAATGTCCAAGTGAGAAAAAACAATTTAACACGGTAAATTAATATAAAATAGAGATGTTTATTTATTGATCGAGGTCAAACTGCTGTAAATTGATCGAATCGAATCAATAATCAGATTTAAAATAAGAAACTAATTAATGATTTATTATATTAATATATAAAAAAATGAGATATATTATATTAATTAATTGTGATTAAACAATTATTAAAATTCATTAATTATAATTTAATAATTGTTAATTAATTATTTTTAAAATTCATAATTTTTAACTTTAAATAATAATAATTAAACAAAAAAAATTAATTATTAACAATTAAAAAAAGTAAAAGGAACAAAAAATTTTCTGATTTTAATTTCAGGGAAAATTTTAAAGTTAAAAAAATTCATTTAGGTACAGTGAAATTAATTTTCTGATTAAAACAATTAAATTCAATGAACTAAATAGATTAAATTTTATATAAATAAATTTATCTTTAAATCTTTAAATTTAAGAAAATATTTTTTGAATTGAGCAAAGATTCAGTTGGATTAAAAATTTAAAATATCACACACAGTGAATAAAAGAGGATTTTTTTCGTGATAGTAAGAAATTTATTGCATCATTGTATATCACATAATAGTTGATTTATGCAGATTTTTAATATAAAATGTAAACTGTAACTACTTTACCATAATAGTCAATGAGTCTCGTTACGTGAATTTTGTTGAGTCATACAAACATTCGAGTTTAAAGCGTTTCGTGAATGTCTCCTATTTATGCATATAAACACACACTTACATATTATTGGTAATTGAAAGCAATAAGAAACTTGAAGCGAATTAATTTCAATTTTCACGGTCGACTACCAGGTCAGATTATGGATCGCTATCAATACGGAAGTTAAAATTTTTTTTGCCAAATTTAAAAATTAAAATAATACAAAAAATTGAAATTATAAGGAAAATTTTCTAATTTTTAAAAATTGGAAATATAATAATATTTTGTTTTTTAGTATTTTTATTGGAAAATTAAAATTTTTTACAGGAAAATTTTATTGAATAATGATTTGGCTAAATAATGAAATATTTCTTTGATGCAAATTTTATTTTATAACAAATTTTGCCAAATAAAGATTTTTTTTTCTAAAATTTGTCAAATGAAAATTTCATTTTATAAAAAATGTTATAAAATAAAAATCTCACCAAATAAAAATTTTAGTCTTGGCTTAATAAAAATTCGATTAAAAAAAATTCGATGGAGTAAAAACTCTGGAAATTAGTTCAGCAGAAAATTCTGTTAAATAGAAAATTTTGCTTAAAAAAATTTTCATACTTATTTAAATATTTAGTCTTGGCTCAATAAATTCTTTTCGAAGAAATTTGGGTTTTAATTCAGCTAAATAAAAATTTACTAGAATAAAAATTTTATTGACGCAAAATCTTGTTTAATAAAAATTTTACTAAATTTTTAGTCTCGGCTAAATAAAAGATAATTTGTTGGAGTAAAAATTCTGCTAAAGTGAAATTTAATGCAGTAAAAAAATTTTTAAATACGAATTTTTTTTTTATAAAAATTCTACTAATTATTTAGTCTTGGCTAAATAAATTTTCGTTTGAAAAAATTCGGTCCAGTTAAAATTCTGCTAAATGAAAATTTAATTGAGTAAAAAATTTAATTAATTAAAAATTCCTACTTAATAAAAATAGAAATATAAGAAAATACTATACAATTCAGACTAAATGATTAGTCTCGGCTAAATAAAAATTTGATTAAAAAAAAAAATTCGGTGGAGTGAAAATTCTGCTAAACGGAGGTTTCATTGAGTAAAAATTTCTTATAAAATCAGTAAAATTTCTGCTTAAGAAAAATTTTACTAAATAATTAGTCTTGGCAAAATAAACATCATAATAAATGAAAATTTCTTGAAGTGAAAATTCTGCTGAATAGAAATTTAATTCCATTACAAAATTCAGTTAAATAAAATTTTTTATTAATAAAAATTATAGTAAATGATTATTCGGCTAAATAAAAATTCTCTTTAAATAACAATTTGATTAAATAATATTTTCTTAAATTTATTTCCGTAATTTAATTTTAATAATGAAAGAAATATTTACTAAGAAAACAATTGACTCTCTGTGTTACATTTTACGTCTTTATTTGTATAAACCGAAAGAAACCAGTTTTTCAATAAGCAATTATAATCATTTACCTTGAAAAGAGAGGTAGGTCCTTTATGTTGCATCGACCCTGATATAGTATTCAAATTTTCGAGAAAAATTTACATCCGTATTATTATTTTTTTAAATAAAAAAAAATTTTTTTTTATTAACTCGTGTAAGTATCAATATAAAAAAAAAATTATTAAAAATTTAAGGACACTGATGATTAAATGACTCGATTAACTTATCACTGACGATCAATGATGTTCAATACATATAAATATGTGTGAAAAATTTATATATATAAATTTATACATGAAACGAAGATTACGATTTGTGATAATCGAAAATTAAATTAATAAACGCATATATATCGTGTACAATATAATTTGTACCACGCCCACAAAAATATTCATTCATTCTTATTGAATTTTTTTTCTGCATTTCGTTTATTGAGAAATTGCATTTACAATGAGGGAATAATTTGAAATTTTTTTTTTCATTAGAGCAATTTAAAAGATGTATTAAGAATGAATTTTTTTTCAAATTTTTTTTGATAGGATTTATAATTTTTGATTATTTTTTTGCAAATTTAATTCATAAATTCGAAAAGCTTGTTCTTAAATTAAAAATTCTTTTAATTATTCCAGGAGTCAATTATTTTTATTAAATTTTATTGAGTTTTGTTTTTACTTAAGTTTACTCGGATAAATTGAAACTCTTCAGAGTATTTAAAATTTTTAATATTAAAATTTATTCAAATATTTATATTATATGCTGTATTTAGAAGATTTAATTTATATTTATTATTTTTATTATAATTTCAATTTAAAAATTATTTTAGTATATTGAAAATATTTTGGTGTTAAAATTCTTTTAACTATTAAACTTAAACTTCACTCAGAAAATTTAATTTTATTAATTTAAATTTTAAACTAAAATTCTATTAGTTATTTTAATTAATTAAATTAATATTCATATAGAAAATTTATTTATACATTTATTACTTCTATTAATTTAAATTTGAATTGACATTATTTTAGTGTTAAAATTATATTAATATTAAAATTCTATCAATTATTTTAATTAAACTTTATTCAGAAAGTTTATTTTTATTTATTTATAAAATACTTTTACTAATTTAAATTTGAATTAAATTTATTTTAGAATTAAAATTATGTTAATATTGAAGTTAGTTTGAAATTGAAATTATTGTAACATTGAAATTAGTTTAAAGTAGAAATTATTTTAATGTTGAAGTTATTTTAATATTAAAATTATTTTGAAATTGAAATTATTTTAATATTGAAATTAGTTTAAATAGAAATTATTTTAATATTGAAATTAGTTTGAATAGAAATTATTTTAATATTGAAATTAGTTTAAATAGAAATTATTTTAATATTGAAATTAGTTTAAATAGAAATTATTTTAAATAGATATTATTTTAATATTGAAATTATTTTAAATAGAAATTATTTTAATACTGAAATTGTTTTAATATTAAAGTTATTTTAATACCATATTTTCAAACATTGTACCACTTGATTGAATAATCAAATAATTAATCAAATAAAAATAATTACTTCAGCAATATTTCTTGTAAGTGGGATCGAACCCTGCACCCTTGAGATTCAAACCGAACACGCTAGCCACTCAGCCACACAGAACTACTCAAAGCAACCAAATATTTTCTCTAAAAGCAAAAAATCTTCTTCAAAATTTTTCGTTAAATTTCTCCAAGTAAAAAATATTTGTAGCGATATTTATTGAAATTTGTGTCTTTCAATCCAAGATTCATAGTCATCAACTGAATGCGAAGCAGAAATAATTTCATTAAATAATTCCCCCACTTTTTCCACATGTAATAAACAAGTGAGTAAAATTAAATACCAGAGGGAGAAAAAATATTGAAAATTCTCTGTAACATAAATAACTTGATAAATGTAATTAGAGCCAAAGCTTAAGGAGCAGATTTGTATTATTATGTATAATTTTTTTTTTTTTTTTGCAAAAATTATGAAAAGGAAGGAAAAGATTTCTGATCATTCGAGGTTGAACTTGTGTTTTGATATTAAAGAACAATCGGTATCGTGTGTCTTTATAGTTCTATTAATATCAGTTGGCAAGGTAATGAGAATAGTTTTTCGTTCATCTTCTTATTTCACAATATCTATAATGCAAAAATAATATATCGGTAGTACCTACTCGTTTTACATATAAGTTATAAATGGAGACGGCTTAACCTTGCAATAATAAGGGAGAACGAAAGACGGAAATAGTGTAACGATAATCTTTCACGACCGCAATGTTTTCGATAGGGATTTTTAAAGTTAGGTGAGAATTTTTATAAGATATTTTTTTTTTTTTTTTTGAGTAAAATATGAGTAGTGCAATCTTTAGACGTTAGTATAAAATCTCAACAATCTTTGCTCAATTCATCAGAAGTACCTGCAAAAGTCATTGTGATACACAAACTTGGAGTTTATTGTTTCTCTGAAGGTACTTTATTAATTGTAAAACTTATAATTAATTACAAAACTCATTCCACTAATTAACACTTAATTATTTAATTGCAAAAGTTAATCCATTAATTAAAACTTGAATAATTAACTGCAAAACTCAATCAACTAATTAAGTCTTAATTATTTGATTGTAAAACTTAAGACATTGATTAAAAATTGATTTATTGTAAAGTTCAATCCATTAATTGAATTTTAATTATCTGATTGTGAAAGTTAATCCATTAATTAATTGCAAAACTCAATCCACTAATTAAAACTTAATTATTTGATTATAAAAGTTAATTAATTAAAACTTGATATAATTACAAATAATTGTAGAAATTCAATTATTTTCAAAAGTAATAAAATTCTTCGCAAAAATTCAATTATGTTCGAAAATCTTTAAAAATTCTTGTCAAAATTTCAATTATCTTTAGAAATAATTAAATTCTTATCCAAAATTCAATTATTTTCAAGTGTAATAAAATTCTTCGCAGAAATTCAATTATTTTCAAAAGCAATAATATTCTTCGCAGAAATTCAATTATTTTCAAAAGCAATAATATTCTTCGCAAAAATTCAATTATGTTCAACAATTTTTAAAAATTCTTGGCAAAATTTCAATTATCTTTAGAAATAATTAAATTCTTCTTCAAAATTCAATTATTTTCAAAAATTTTAATAAAATTTTTAGAAAAGTAATAAAATTCTTCGCAGAAATTCAATTATGTTCAACAATTTTTAAAAATTCTCCTCAAAATTTCAATTATCTTTAGAAATTCTTCTCCAAAATTCAATTATTTTCAAAAAATTTAATTATTTTCAAAATATTTCCTCAATTCAATGATTTTCAATATCTACTATTTTCATAAAATTTTCCAAAAAAATTCAATTATTTAAAAAAACAATTTAATAGAATTCTACACAAACTTTTAATTATTTTCAAAAAATAATAAAAATTTCACAAAAATTTCATTATTTACAAATTTTTGTTATAAATTTCTTCGCAATCATTCAATTATTTTCGTAAATAATAAAATTCTTTTTAGGAATTCAATCATTTTCAAAAATAATAAAACTCATTGCAGAATTTCAATTATTTTTAATACAATTTTAATCGAATTCCTGGAAAAAAATCTTAAAAATAAATTGTTATTTTTGTATTTAAATAATTGAATTTTAGTAGAATTTTCTCATAAACATTGATTTAAAAATAGATTACAGTTAAAATTTTAAATTAAAATTGAATATTAAAATAAATTAGAGCGTAAATTTTTAGAAATAATTGAATTTTGAAAAGTGACAGATTAAAATCTTTGAAAATTTAAATTTTTCATATTTATAACCAACAATTCTTTCGAATTAATTTTAATCCTTCGTAAAAATTAAATTTTGTTCGAAAAAAAAATAAAATTCTTCTTAGGGATTCAATTATTTTTAATACAATTTTAATCGAATTTCTCTAAAAATTTAATTATTCTTAAAAATTTTATTAAAATTCGTCGAGAGAATTCACATATTTAAAAATTTATTTGATAAAATTCATAACGAGCATTCGATTTTAAGAAACATTTAATTAATAAATTATTTATTTGTATATTTAAATAATTTAATTCTCGTAGAATTTTCTAATAAAAATTGATTTAAAAATTAATTTCAGTTAAAATTTTAGATTATAATTGAATATTAAGAGTATTTTAAAATAATTATAGAATAATTTAATAATTTTAGAAATAATTGAATTTTGCAAAGGTTTAATTTTAAAAATTGTCAAAATTTTAACTATTTTCAAAAATTTTCTACAATTCAATGATTTTCCAATATCTACTATTTTAATAAAATTTTCTAAAAGAATTCAATATTATTTAAAATTTAAATTTAATTATTTTCATAAATAATGAAAATTTCACAGAAATTCAATTATTTACAAAAATTTTTATATAAATTTTCTTCACAATAATTCAATTATTTTCATAAATAATAACAATTTTGCAGGGATTTAATTATTTTCACAAAAATATAATGAAACTTATCGCAGAATGTCAATTATTTTTAATGCGAATTTTTAATCGAATTTCTCGAAAAATCTAATTATTCTTAAAAATTTTATTAAAATTCGTCGAAAGAATTTAATTTAATTATTCAAAAATTTGTTGGTAAAATTTTTCACGAGAATTCAATTTTAAGAAACATTCAATAATTTAATTATTCAAAAATTTGTTGGTAAAATTTTTTACGAGAATTCAATTTTAAGAAACATTCAATAATTTAATTATTTAAAAATTTTGTTCATCAAATTCTTTAGGAGAATTTAATTTTAAAAAACATTCAATAATTTGATAATTTAAAAATTTGATGATCAAATTCTTTATGAGAATTTAATTTTAAGAAACATTCAATTATTCAATAAATTATTTATTTTCGTATTTAAATAATTGAATTCCAGTGGAATATTCTAATAAAAATTGATTTAAAAATTAATGTCAGTTAAAATTTTAAATAATAATTGCATATTAAAAGCAATATAGCGTGAATTTTGATAAATAATTGAATTTTGAAATAAATTTTTTTGAAAAAGTTTATTTGAATCTTTTTTAGTTTTAAGTTTTTATTTTCTAATATTTATTTAATTGAAGAATTTACAAATAATTGAAATTTCGTAAAATTAAATATTGTAAAGAAATGTATTTGAAGATTGTCAAAGAACTTTTTTTGAAAATTATTAAAAATAATAAATTATTAAAAAAAGATTTAAAGAAGAATTTCAGTTAAAAATTCTTATTTGTAGTTTTAGTAATTTTTCATCTTTGGTCCTTAAAGTCCATGATTATAAATACTTTCACTGGTTCGAGCCGCAAAAAATAACAATTCTTTTTATTTTATTATTTCCTTTTTTCTCCTTTTAACTTTTTTTGGTAATTAATTTTTCTCTCCATTTTGAATTTTTCACAGTGAAACCAAAGAAGTCATGATTTTCCCAATTGTTTTCGGTCTTGTTGCCATTTTCGTGGCTGAATCGTCAGCCGTTTCAATTGGAGTGACGTCACTGGTACCCGGAGCACACGTGGGTGTTGATGGACGTGTTGTAGACACCCCAGAAGTCGTGGCGGCCAAAGCCGAACACGCAGTGGCACATTTAAATGAAAGAATCAATTTAGTGAATGAGGCAGTGAGATCGGCCGATTTTCCCGTGACATCCGTTTTCACACCAGTTTCCGGAGTTGGTGTTGGTACCATTTTCACGACAAACGGAGTTGTACCAATTGGCGTCGATATCTCGCAAATTGTTCGCTCGAATCAAGTGGTGCCAACTGTCGTTGCCGTTGACAATGGCCGTGTTGTTTTTGACAATTCCGAAGTGAGACTCGCCAGAGCCGAGCAAGTCATTGCACAATTGGCTGAAAAAGTACGACTCGTCAATGACAATAGTCGAGTGGTCGATGGCGTTGTTTCTTCAGACGTTCAGTAATAATACAATTTTTTTGTCTCCTTTGAAAAAAAAAATTGATAGTTTCACTTTTATCTATTTTTCCCCACAAACTGCCCGGAATTTTCTTTTTTTCGAAATTAATTATTATTAAATGTTTGTCTTAATTTTGTAGCTGTGGTAATTACTTTATATGGTATTGTAAATACTACAGGGTAATTTTCTTTTGTTTTAATGTTTACTTCATGGCAAGTGTCGTTGGAATTGAAACAAATTGATGATGAATTTTTTTTGTTGATTTTGGAGTGAATTGAAAGAAAAAAATGAATTTTCATTTTTGAAAAATGAATTTTTCCTGAAATGTTTGTAATCCTACGACTTGCTGTGATGTAATTATTTTTATTAGATTTAAATATATGGGAAATGTTGCAAAAAATACTCGAGGAAAAATTACTGGTGGTACTTTTAAATATGTGTAAATAAATGAATAAATAAATAAAGATCTTGGAAAATCTTTTAAAAAATTACTTTTTTAATCGTACACGTCGAATAATTTCAGAAGATAATGTTTACATTTAATTAGTGCGATAATTAGCAGTAATGGCCATTACTGAACAGTTTTGATAAATAATTAAATTTTTTTGACGAATTTCTTTAAATTTTCGGAAAAATAATGTTCTTTTTTTAATTTTAATTAAAAATTTGGAAAATAATTTCGAATTAAACAAAAAATTGTTTCAATCTTTTAAAATAATCTTGTTTGTTTATAATTATAATTAAAAATTTGTTTAATTCAATTTTATTAAAATGCATTGATACTAATAATTGAATTTCTGCAAAGAATTTTACTATTTGAATCCTTCAAAAGAATGTTATTTATTCTTGAACTTTTGTTATTTTCTTGTTCTTCTTTTGTTTTATTATTCTTTTGTTCACTTTTATTGTTCTTTAATTATTTTTTCTATTTTTGTTCCTTTATTATTTTCTTTATTAGCAGGAATTTTTATAAACTTCAATATTTAAACAAATAAAATTAATAATTAAAAAAATTAAAAATACTAGAAATAGAAAATGAAAGAAATCGACAATATAATTAAAAAAAAAAAATGTAAAAAATGAGAAAAATAGTTTTGCGAATAATAATAAAAAGAGAAAGAGTGAAAAAGAGAAAATTGAAGAAGAAGAAAAGAATGAGAAAAAAGAAAACAAAAAAAGAGGAAGGAAACAAAATTTTGGCGAAGACAACTTTTCAACAAGCAGCATTCAAGACACTTTTGGTGTTATAAAACATTTTCCACCATAAAAAATACTTGACATTAATTTCCAAACGTGCAACACATACGCACGTCTAAACATTAAATTCGCAAAAAGATTTACAGCCTTTGAATAAATTAAACTTATCAGCCTTGGTTGAAATTTGAAAAAGAGTACAAAATTTATGATCTAGAAAGATCATTTTCGACTCTTTGAAAACAAAAAGAAAAAAAATTCTGAAAAGCACACATACACTTTATATTATATTATCTGACCCCAAAGAATCCTTGAGTAAAATTCGAAGGAAATCCAAGAGCGCAAATATTTACCTCTTTTTGATCCAATGTGACGTTTTTAAGCACATAGCACCACCACCACTACCACCACCATCATCATCAACATCATGATCATAAAAAATGGAAGAAGCTTTGAAAAAAGCATTATTTGAAGAAGCAAATGGTCCGGTTTACATCGGTCTCTCTTTGCCTCCTCGACAATATATATTTGACCTTGAATTGTGAAAATACCAGTTTTGCAAACTACTTTGCCGGGTCCTCATCTGGAGTCTTTTGCTCGTTTAGGTATGAGCTTATTTTACACTCCTGTATATACATGTGTAAAGAGGCGTAAGTGAGATGAGGCACAAAAAAAAGTGGACGAAGGGGGTGAGAGAGACGTTGTCGATGCACACCTCTTCTTCTTCTTCTTCGCATATATAAACTTGTCAGTATGGCAAATATTTTGCATTATGTTTCTGTCGACTGTCCTATGTACCAATTCAGCATGAGGACAACGTTTGTAAGAAAATTTTTGTTTTTTCAAAAGAATTCAAATTATTTCTTTGAAATATAGTTTCCTAAATTTTTGAAACAGTGTTTTTTTTTCTAAAATCAGTGATTTTTATTTGTTTTGCAAATTATTCAGTGCGGTTAATAGTGAACTATGTTTGATCACTGATCAGATCGATTGTTTTAAAAAAATGATGATCAAAATAGTCTTTTTGATTCTTGATCGATTTTTGTTTTAGAATCTCTTTTTTTTGTTTTTGACTTTTTTTTCTTGTTATTCTTTTTGGTTTTCTTTGTTTCTTTATTTTCTATTTGATAAACCTTTTGTTTCTTTTTGTTTTCCTTTTTGTAGCATTTCGTTCCTCTTTATTTATCGTCTGGTTTTTCTTCTTTTCTTCTCTTTTTTGTTTTTCTTCTTGTTTTACTTTTTTTGTCCTATTGTTTTTCTTCTTGTTTTACTTTTTTGTCCTATTATTTTTCTTCTTGTTTTTCATTTGGTTTTTTTGTTCATCTTCTTGTTGTTCTTTTAGTTTTTCCTTGTGCTTCTTTCTGTTTTTCTTTTTTTTTCATTATTTTTCTTGCTTTTTTGTTTTCTTTTGATTTTTTTGTTTTTCTTCTTGATTTTTTTTGCTTCACTTTTTTTAATACTCTTCTTGTTTTTCCTTCTTGTTGTTCTTTTAGTTTTTCCTTGTGCTTCTTTTTGTTTTTCTTTTTTTGCATTATTCTTCTTGATTTTTTTTGTTTTTCTTCTTGATTTTTTTTTGCTTCACTTTTTTTTAATACTCTCCTTGTTTTTCCTTTCGATTTTTTCTTTTGACTCTTTTTGTTTTTCTTTTGGTTTTTCTTCTTGTGCATTTTCTCCCCTTTCTTTCAGTTCTTTTCTTTTGCTTCTCTTTATTTTTCTTCATTTTCTATTTGATTTTCCTTTTGTTTTTCTTTTCGTTTTTTTGTTTCTCTTCTTGTTTTTCTCCTTGTTTTTTTTGTTTGTCATTTTGTTCTTCTTTTTGTTTTTCATTTGGTTTTATTCTTGTTCATCTTCTTGTTTTTCTTTTTGTATTCTTCTTCCTTTTTTCCAGTTTTTTCTTTTGCTTCTTGTTTTTCGTTTTTATTTTCTTTTTGTTTCTTTTGGTTTTTCTTCTTGACATTTTTTTGTTCTTCTTTTCGTGTTTCCTGTTGTTTTCTTTTTGTTTTTCTTCTCGTGTTTCTTTTTATTTCTTCTTACTTTTCTTTTTGTTTTTTCTTTTGTTTCTTCTTATTTTTTCTCTAGTGTTTCTGGTTTTTCGTTTCGTTTTCTGTTTTGATTTGTTCTTCTTGTTTTTTCTTCTATTTTTCCATTTGTTTCTTTTCGTTTGTAAAATTTGGTTTTGACATTCTCATTTTTCTTGCAGCAAATCCTGATATCAATAATCCTCTCATCGGTGGCTTATTCATTAGCAAAATCACCGCAAACACCTGTTTACATTGGCTATCAGGACAGTCTGGGACAGTATAGTTTTGGATACAGTGCACCAGAATCGGCGAGATCGGAGGTACGTCAAGCAAATGGTGAAACAAGAGGATCGTTCAGTTATGTCGACACTGATGGCGTAATTCAACGGGCAAAATATACAGCCGATGAGGAGCATGGCTTTCAAATAGCAGCCACTAATCTACCACGAAATGTGGAAGACACACCTGAGGTGATGGCTGCAAGAGAAGCTCATCTCAAGGCATTAAAATTGGCCTATCAACGAGATGAGCACGAGCAAACAATGTTGAATCATCAGACATTTCTGCAACAATTGGGACTAAAACGATTGGATCAATCATCATCAGGTGCTCATCAACAAATCGCAGGTCAGGAGAATTCGAATCAGAAACTGTTGGATCAATCATCGACTGGTGTTGTTGATCATCAATTGAAAGGTCAGCTGCATTCATATCAGCAGCATTTGGATCAAAAACAAACAGATCATAAGCACCTGGATCAGCAAAGTTTGAGTCATCAGCATTTGGACCAGAAACATTTGAGTCAGCAGTATTCGGATCAGCAGCAAAAAGATTATAAGCACCAGGATCAGCAACATTTCAGTCATCAACAAAAAGACCATCATTACTTGAATCAGCAGCAAGCGGATCAACAACTATTAAATCAGCAGCAAGTGAATCAAAAACTTTCAAATCAACAGCAATCGTTAGATCAACAGCACTCGGATCAGCAACATTTGAGTCATCAGCAATCACTAAGTCAGCAGCACTCGGATCAGCAACATTTGAGCCATCAGCAATCACTAGGTCAGCAGCACTCGGATCAGCAATCACAAAGTCAGCAGCATTCGGATCAGCCAACATCACACCAGCAGAATCTAGATAGGCAAAAACAAAGTGTGCTAACATTTGGTCAACGAATAAGCGATCATCATTCGGAGCAGCAAGCAATAGATATACAGAATTTGAATCAGCAACCTTTGATTCCACAGTTATTGTCCAAATTGAACTCGAATCAATTTGTAAATCATAACTCGAATCTGCAAAAAATCGCTCTGCAAAATTTGCATCAGCAATCCGTAGTTCATTCTCAGTTGGATCAGACGTTAGGCCCGCAAAGTTCGGATCCGCAAGCTTCAGATCATCAGCAAACATTAGGACATCAGCAATTGGGTCAGCAACATTTAGTGCAGGTGGGAAAAATTCCTAAAGACCCAGCGCAATATCAGCCGGTTCAGGATGCAACCTACGAGCAAGGATCTTCGAAAACGTCTCCCCAGTCTAGTCAACAAACTTTGGAAAATCAACAATCAAAGCAGCATTCAAACATTCACTTAGAAAAAAATTTGGATCAGCCACAGTTGTTTCAACCAAATTTGTCCAATGATAAATTAAACCAACCAAACCTGGAATCGAGTAAATTGCAACAATCAATATTAGAGTCCAGTAAATTGAATCAACCACAGCTGGATAAAAAACAAGAGGATCAGGAAAAATTGAATCAACCACAATTGGATCCAAGAAAGTTCAACCAACAACAATATCAATCTGTAGGACAGAAAGAGATTTCAGATAAGAGTCCAATTCAACAATATCAATCAGTGGCACAACAAGACAGTTCTGATAGGAATCCAATTCAGCAACAGAATCAGCCAGTGGGTCAAGAAATTTCCGATAGAAATCCAATTCATTTGCAACTTTTGAGAAAACAACAGTCCGATCAAAAATTACCAGTCACGAGTCTGGATAACCAACCAGTACTGCTACAATACCCAAATCAGTATCCCTTTCTGGATCAACCGATTCTGGGACACCAACCATTCGGTCAACGATTATCCAACGAACGTCAACGCCCGTCAATAGGAAAACTGGGCCAAAAGTTAAGCGCTTATCAACAACAATCACAAAACAAATTTTCAGGAACACAAACTTTAAATCGACCCCAATTTTTAAAAGCAGAAAAAGATGATCAAAAGCAGCAGAAGATTAATCAACGGATATTAACGAGTCCTCTGTCTGAACATCCAAAAAATCAACTGTCACAATTTTCTGATCCAACGAAATTATTGAAACCAATAGGACAGCAACAACCGAGTCAGGATCAATTAAGTCAGCAGCAATTTTCACCGCAATCTAGTCAACAGCAGTTGGGTCCACAATTTGGTCAGCAGCAGTTACAGCAACAACCATTGAATCAGCAACCACTGAATCAAAATGAATTAGGTCCACAATTTGGTCAGCAGCAGATAAATCAATTAGGTCAGCAATCATTGATTTCAAATCCATTGAATCAACAGCAATTTGATCCACAACTGTTGAGTCAACCATTTGGAAATCAACCATTTAATCCTAATTCACTGAATCTAGCGCAATTAGATCAGCAGCAATTGAATCAACAACAATTTGGTCAGCAGCAGTTGCAGCAGCAACCATTGAACCAACCACAATTTGATCAGCAACAGTTAGGTCAACAACAATTTGGTCCACAGCAATTAAGTCAACAACAATTCGGTCCACAGCAATTAAGTCAACAACAATTCGTTCCACAGCAGTTAAGTCAACAACAATTCGATCCACAGCAGTTTGGTCAACAGCAATTAGCTTCACAGCATTTAAATCAACAACAATTTGATCAGCAGCAATTGAATCAACAACAATTGGGTCCACAACAGTTTAATCAACAACAGTTGGGTATACAGCAATTGGATCAGAGTCAATTAATTCAACCGCAAATAGCCCAGCCACAAGTGAATCAATTTGGTCAACAACAGTTTGATCAGCAGCATTTGGGACTACAGCAATCAAATCAACAACAATTGGGTCCACAACAGCTGAGTCAACAACAATTGGATCCACAGCAATTGAGTCAGCAACAATTAGATTCACAGCAACTTGGTCAGCAGTTGTTAAGTCAGCAGCAATTGAATCCACAACAATTGGGTCAGAATCCGTTACAGCAGCAACAATTCGATCAGCAGCAATTGAATCAACAGCAGTTGGGCCAGAATCCATTTCAGCAGCAACAATTTGATCAGCAGCAATTGAATCAACAACAGTTGGGTCAGAATCCGTTTCAGCAGCAACAATTTGATCAACAGCAATTGAATCAACAACAGTTGGGTCAGAATCCGTTTCAGCAGCAATTGAGTCAGAATCAGCAGCAACAATTCGATCAGCAGCAATTGAATCAACAACAGAAACCTTCGGATATTCAGAAATTAATACAAAATCAGTTTAATCATCGACAATTTATTCAGCAGCAAATGGATCAAATACAATTAGCGCAGCATCATTTAAATTCACAACAATTAAGTCAACAGCAATTGAATCCACAACAATTGGCTCAACGTCAGAATGAATTGCATCAGTTTGCTTTGACGGAATTGAGTCCAGAGCAACTGATTCAACATCAATTTAATCAACAGCAATTGAATCAACAACAATTTGGTCAACAACAACAACATCGACAACAATTTCATCCACAACGATCGCAACAATTAAATGATAACGATTTACGAATAACAAAAATTCTTGCCGGTGTTGGTGGTAATCAATTCCAAATTCCTGTTCCTGGTGCTGAAAATCAACTGATTCCTCAGGGAATAAAAAAAAATGATGGACAAAATGACGCTGACCAAGACTTACAAAATTTTCCATCTACTTCAGGTCAATATGCTAGTGATAAAAAAGGGGAAGCTGTGAAAAATAATTTACACGAACAAAAGTCGAAACCAAATCAAGTAAATATGACAAAAAAATAATAAAGTATTTTGTTGGAAAATTTTTTTGACTTATTTCCGAAATTATCCTCTATAACAGAGAATATTTCCAATTTTTTTTTATTTCTGGAATATTTCATTGGAATATTGAAAAAAATCGTCTAGAAATATTCCAGAAATATTTATTTTTACTAATTTGTAAATTTTAATTTAATGTTTAGTAATTTTTACTAATTACTAATTTACAAATTTTTTACTACTATTTTACTAATTGTAATTATAATTTACGAATTAATTCACTAATTTTTTTTACTATTATTTTCCTAATTGTTAGGAATATTTAGAAAATTTAAAATTATTATTTAGCTACTAAATTAAATATTTTTTTGTTATTAAATTAAAGTTGTTACAATAACAAACTAATGTTATAAATAATTTGTTACAGGGACAACTTGGCTTTCTGAAACATCAAGGCGAATCTCAAAGTATTGGTGAGTTAATTAATTTATTTAGACTTAATTATAATTAAAAAAAATTTAATTAACATAAACCTCAACAACACGGATTATTCCATAAAATATTAACAGAGAATATTAGAAAAATATTTTATTAATTTCATTCAAAATATTTCATTGCAAATATTTATTTGAAATATTCTATTTGAATATTACTATAATATTGCTTATTTAATGTTAAAAATATTACCTTTTTAAATTAACAATTTTTTACAAATTTTTTTTACAAAATTAATTAACAATCATAATTTGTTTATATTAATAATTTATTAATAATTTATTATTAATATTTTAATATTAATAATATTAAATATTAATAATATTTACAATATTCCAGGAATGCAAATGGAATAGTTCGTGCTATTGGAGTATTAAATTTTTTTTAGTAATTAATTATTTCCAATATTCAATTTTTAATGTTTTCAAAAAATACAAAAAAGATAAAAATGCAAAGAGTAATTAAGGAAATTAGTTAAGATTTTTTGTATTATTAATTAATTGATGAATTATATTTCAAAAAATAAAAAAAGACGAATACGAAAAGTAATTATAAGAAAATGAATGAATTAATTAAATTAATAATTAAATTACAATTATTGATGAATAAAAAATAAAAAAAAATTAAATAATTAAAAAATAAAACTGAGTGTTTAAATATTTTTCAAAAAGTTAATTTGAAAAGATTTAAAAAAATTCCGCTCGAAAATAACTATATGTCTGTAGTGTAGGATAAAAGTGAAATAATTTATTAATTAGCTCCTAATTAAAAAGTAGTGAATCACCTTGATAAGAGAGAGAAAGAGAGTTGAATTTCGCGTACGACTTTTACAAAGTCATCAGGTAGTCTTTATTATTTTTTATGCAATCCAGTTAGCGATCCAGAGCAAATATCGTTTGCAAACCGCAAATCCACCTTCCCTTTCTTTTTCGTTATATGACTCTCTTTTATTACCGCCGGCAAGGTCGTCTCACTTCCGGGGTCGATATTCGATCAAGGTCAATTCAACCACATGACCATAATTATTTTATCTCGTGGAAATTAAAAAAAAAAGTTTGACATTTTTCACAAAAATTTTTATTCACTTCTTCTCTTTGTTCTTGATTTTAATTGATTATCGATTTTTATTTGGATTTTTTTTGGAATTTGGAGAGATATTCCACTAATAGGTAATAAAAGAAATATTCGCGGAATATTCCTTTGGAATATTTTGTCTAACGCTATTAAAATAACTAATATTTAAATATTTACAGCCACATTATGACTGTAATATTATATTTTTATATTTTGGAATATTCTTGAGAAATTTTATTTAAAAAATTTGGAATATTTAAAAGTACATTTGGAATATTTAAATGTAATATTAAAAAAATTTTCTTAAAAATATTACAGAAGTATTTCATTGGAATACTGTGGAATATTTAATTCGAATACTGTTAAATATTTTATTGGAATATTGTGGAATATTTTATTGGAATATGGTGGAATATTTTATTGAAATAATTTGGAATATTTCATTGAAACACTATGGAAAATTTTATCCTAATTTTATTTTTTTATTTTTATTTTTTATTTATATTGAATATTCCATGATTTTGGTTGGAAAATGTTTTACGAAATATTGTCAAAATATTGTTAACAAATATTCCAAGAAGATTATTGTCGAAATATTGTATGATTTTTGTGAAAAATATTTTTCTTGATCTTTAACAGAAATAGTGCAGGAAAATTTTCGTGGAATATTGTAGTAATATTACTGCAATATTGTAGGAATTTGGTACAAAATATTTTTAGTAAAATTTAAAAAAAAGAATTTAATTTTTTCGAAGAATATTCTTGTCTAAAATTTATGAAATCCTGAGGGAATATTTTAGTAAAATTATTTTCGGTTTCTCTCGGATATTCGTATTGGAATATCAAAGGTAATTTCTAGAATATTATTTTGGAATATTTTTCGTATTGCATCTAATTTTTCGTATAAAATTTATGAAATTCTGTCAGAATATTTTAGTGGAACTATTAGTTTTCTACTGGAATGTTCGTAGTGGAATATCTAAGATAATTTCTGGAATATTCTATTGAAATATTTTCAGTGTTAAAGTGTAAAAATCTATAAAATCCTGTGGGAATATTTTATTAGGATTATTGAAAGTTTCCACCAGAATATTCTTAGAGGAATATCTAAAGTAATTTCTGGAATATTCTTTGGAATATTTTTTGTATTTGACTATTCATAAATGTGTAAAATTTATAAAATTCTTTGGAAATATTTTAGCAGAATTATTATAGTTTTCTACTGGAATATTCCTAGTGGAATATCCAAGGTAATTTTTGGAATATTCCTTGGAATATTTTTCGTATTTAACTATTCATGTATACGTGTAAAATTTATTAAATCCTCTGGGAATATTTTAGTGGGGAATAGTGGGAAAACTTAGTGGAATTTCTAAACTAATTTGTGGAATATTCTTTTGGAATATTTTTCGTATTGTATTTAATTTTTCGTATTCGTCTAAAATTTATGACAATCACTCAAAATATTTTAGGGAGATTATTTTAGGTTTTCGAGATTTCTATTAGGATATTACTAGTGGAATTTCTAAGATAATCTCCGGAATATCTTTTGGGAATATTTTTCGTATTCTTTGCATTAGAAAGTTGGAAAAAAAAAATTTCTTGACTACTGTAAATGAAAAAAATTTTCTTTCTCATTATTCATGTGAATTAGTATAGTTGTAATTTTAAAAAGAAAAAAAAAATTTAACAGGCATGTTAGCCAACTGGATAAGGAAGAACGAGACGCATCCAGTGGAAGGATTTATGACGCAGGCTAATCTCAAGGATAAAAAACCCACAACGAATGCTGGGAGTCAATTATTTCAACTTGTTACGCCCGGTCACATTAGTAAACCCTTCATTGTTCCCTCAAATTATGTACCTTTAAAAAATTCCAACGACGCTATGGGAATGCTTTTGCAACCAACATTTTCCGCTCAATGTTTTATAACTCGTGCCGATCAGCTTGGTAATCTCGTCGATGTAAATTAACGCCCTTTTTTTCATTTTTTTTTTTTTTTGATAGACGGCTTATAATTTTAAATACTTTTTCCCAAGCCTGTCACTCATACAAGTCATTATTCTAGGATTTAAAGATATTCTCTTCCCTTTTTCATTTTTTCTCTTCCCCAACAAGTTTCTCGTAAGATTTTTTTTTTCCTTTTCACTTTCGCGTAAAATCATTTTGCATGGAAAAAAATATAAATGGTGTTTTTTCTTTTTGCAATATTGCAAAATTTAATTAACATCTAAACAGAAATTGTATATGATATGTAAATTATTATTAAATACGAAAATGGAAAAAATTTTAGACGTTTAATTTCAAATCTAATTACTGTATGGGAGAAAAATTGGAGAATTTGATTAATTCTGATTATGTAACAATTAAAAATGTATAATTACAAATGTTTTTCAATTTTAATAAAATTCAATTTGCAGATTTTTTTACGAAAAGAATATGTTCTCTTTATTCAGTGTAATTTTATTCACTATTTAAATGGCGATTTTCTTTTATTAACAAACATCTTCTTAATCAAAGTATTAATTAATTATTAATCATTAAACAACTTTTTTTTTAATAATTAAAGAAAACAATTGTTAACCGCTGCAGTGAAAAATTGAGTTAATTTTTTATTGTCTATATCGACTATATCAACCGTAAAGTAATATCAATTAATAATAATAATTAATTGTTGCATTAATTAAGTATTAATTTTAGAACTAATTACTTATTGATTATTGATTACTTCATTTAATAACATTTATAATTATTGCTTTAATTAATTATTAAACATTAGTTAATTATTAATTATGATTTACTTAATTTTTTTTATTTGATAATAATTTGTTAATTATGAATTATGAATTAATTAATTAGTTGCTATTGATTTAATTATTTTAATTAATTGATTTAACAATTTACGACTTGCATTTATTAGTTAGTAATTATTTGTTTAATTAGTTATTAGCGTAATTATTATTAATTTTTAGTCTAATTGGTCATTAAAATTACTATTAATTATTAGTTTAAATAGTAATTAACATAATTATTAATTATTAGTTTAATTAGTTATTAATTATTAGTTCCTGAGTTTTTAATTAATTATTATTATTCCTGAGTACTTGCATCAATTAATTAATGTTTCATTAATTTTATTGTAACAATTAAAAAAATTTTCGTTAATTAAAATATTGTGGTAATAAAAACAATTTCCTAGTGTAGAAGAGAGTGTTGAAAAAAATTCACAATTGTACGAAAAAAAATTGAATGGAAATAAAGAATAATGTTACGAGAGGAGAAATTATTTTTCACATTTGTCAAGAGCTTTTATTATTCATTTACAAAATAACGCTGGATGCGCGAACAATAATAATGGGAGGAATATATTTATATATATATATATGTATAGTGTATAATTATTAGTAAAATAATAAAGAATGATAATTATAATTATATAATAATTGATAATAATAATAATAATATACAAGATAGTAGTCGTACGATGATTATAAAGTGCGACAAAAATACTTCACAAATTTTTTTTCTTTTTATTTTTCGAGGCCTGAGGAAAAATATTTACTTTCGGTAAAAGTAGCGTTTGGAAATTTAAAAAAAAAAAACGAAAAAATACGCATTTTACCAAAAATAAAATTACTATTCCAATTAATTCTCTTTATTTTCGAATGAGACTAATGAGTGCAAATTTAATTGCGCTCGCTTTGTAATTTTTTTGACGTTCCCTCGTCATTCCGTAACAGAAAAAAAGTTCAAATAAAAATTTCGCCTTTTTTGTTCTCGCGATGTTTGAATAGATTCGAAAAAAACAATTATTATAATTTGAGATTGAATAAATAATTATTTGGTTATTAATGACAAAGTAATATTTCTAATCAGTAAAATAGTAATTATTTTTTTTGGAACTATTATAATTTCCACTTGTTTGGAATATTTTTTTTTTTAATTATAATTTATAATATAATTATAATTGTATAATATTATTATAATTATTATAATTTTCATTGTTTTAGAATTGTACCATTAATTAGTTTATTAATAATTCTTATTAAATTATTAATTATTAATAGTTTATTTATAATTATAATAGTTTGTTTTGGAATTATAATTATAAATTATAATATCCATTTCTTTAGAATTAATATGACAATTATAATAATTACAATTTTCATCTTATTTCGAATAACAAATATTCTGTATCAATAAATTAATGGTAATTATAAAAAGAGTGTAAAAAATTTATTATAATTATAATATATCTAATTTTTTGGAAAAAAAATATTATAATTATAATATTTAATTTTTTGGAAAAAATAGTATAATTATAATATTTAATTTTTTGAAAAAAATAGTATAATTATAATATTTAATTTTTTGAAAAAAATAGTATAATTATCATTTACATTCATCTCTTTTAAAATAACAATAGTATTAATAAAAATTAGAGCTATAAAAATAATTTATCGGCAACAAATTATTTTCTCTACGGAGGAAATAAGAGAAAAATACAAAAGTGGAAGATTTCCCCGAATGAAAAATAAATCGCGAGAACAAAAGTGATGGCAAATCACGATTTTGTTTTCAGTTTGCCCTTTAAAAAGGATCTTGTTTTTCTTGTGAATCTCGCGTAATACTGAACAATCGCTTTCTTCGGAGATATTATACTAAGCCGCCTACAATAATCATAACGATAATTACAATAATACGCAATATAGTCAGAAACGGATAATATTTTTTTTTTCTTTTTATAATGATAATAAAGTGACGTCATCGTCATTTTTTTTTTGTTTCAAATCATTTTCTTTTTTTTTCATTTTGTCTTCTATACATAAAACTCTCTGCTCTTATACATATTATATATTCATATAAATCTAAATATAATATGTATTTATAATGATCATATATTTATATATATTTATATATAATATATTCGTTCTAACGCAAGAAATAACGTTCACACTTTTTTTTCTCTTTCTCTTTCTCTCTCGCTCGCTCTCTTTCTCTCATTTTGAATACAATAAATTTTTTATTATTTTTTTTAAAATTTTATTCCTCTTTTTTTTTAGTTCTTTTTATCGTTTCTACTTCTCCCATTTTTTCTTCTCTTCCTTCCCCGAAAAAAAACAATTTTTTTTTTGTTTTACTTTTCCCTGATTCTTCCATTTTTTTTTATGTATAATTACATGTATTTAATTATTATTGACAAACAATTGAATGAAATTGTTTAGAATAACTAAATGGAGAATGAATTTTTTTTTGTTCACTATACAATGAGACTAATTTTTATTATTCTACTCTCGTTTCCACATTTTTTTTTTGCGATCAGAATTTTATTTTCTAAAATCAGTTTTATGGGCGGTTGTTTTTTTAGTTTTTATTTTTTTTTTTTTGCAATTTTTTTATTTTTTTGTCAACAAAAACGAATCACGTCGCAGATGGAAAATTTTTGTTTTTGCACCGGATTTTTTTTTCTGTTTTCCTAAAATTTTGGAATTAGGAAAAAATTTTCTTCTCACTAAAGTAGTTTTGAAATTGTCACTTTTACCGGAATTCTTTTTCTATTTTCCAAAGAGATAATTTTTTTTGGAATTAAAAAAAATTTCTTTGAAATCAAACAATTTGTCACATTTAGTAAATAAAGTAGAGTTTTAATTAATTTAATTAATAACAATTATAAATTGTTAATTTAATTATTTATCAATCTATTTTTAACATAGAATGATTTCAATCGAAATTTTATCAGTGATTTAATTGGAAAATAATTGTTCATAATTATTTGATAACAAACTATTACTAAATGTTTAATTTTTTTGTAAATAAATTTTTAATAAATATTTAGTTTTTTTAATAAATTTTTAATAAATGTTTAAATTTTAAGTAAAATGTCACATTTTTAAATACATCTTCAATAAATGTTTAATTTTGTTAATAAATTTTTTTTTAATGTTCAATTCGTTAATAAATTTTTTAAAAAATGTAATAAAATTTTCAATTTTTAATAAATTTTTAATAAATTTAATAAATGATTATTAATGAATATTTAATAATTAATATTCATTAAATAATAATGCAAAAATTTTAATATTGTGAAAAAAAAATTTTCTTTTTCTCTCTCTCTCTTTCACTGTTTTTCTCTGTCTTCTCTATTTTTTTCTCTTTCAATTCAGAGTTCTGCCCTGAAAGGTAATAGATCATATCTTTGTTTCTCATCTTTTTGCTCTCTACTATTCCCTATGACATTTAAAATTGTGATATTTCTCACGCAGTCACTCAATTCAATGTTTGAGCGAAGAATTGATCAAATATCGAATTATTAATATAAAGTCAATATTTTCTGAATATTAAATAATAAATATCACAAATTTTAAAAAAATTTTAAACAAAAATATATTTAAAAATCATTTTCTTTTTATAAAGAAATTTATAAAAAAAAAAATTTGAGGGGGGGGGGATTCTAAAAAAAGAAAAAAATACATTGCGACGTGGCTTCATTAAAAAATTTCTTCTAAATTAAAAAGCGTTTTTTCTCTTCAGTTTTTTGAAATAACAATATTTTCAATTTTTCTTTATTTTCTTTTTTTGTAAAACATTTGATAAACATCACAGAAAGGCCTATCGAAATCAGTGGAACTTTGACAATTCACAACTCTTTTTTTTTTTGTTATTAATATTTACATGAGCTTTTGGGGATAAATTATAGACGAAAAAATTATTTAGTCAAAAACTTTGTATTCAATTAATAAATATTCTTTAAGAAAATTATCGTTTAATACATTTTTACTAAAAAAAATGTTATTTATTGAAAAAATGACTTTCCATGTAAAAAAATGTGGATTTTATTTATTTTTAAATATTTTTATAAATAAATAAAAATAATAAATGGTTGACGAATTTTTTTTTAAAATCTTGAATTGTTAAATATAAAAAAATTATTTTTTCTTGAAATAAACAATCGTTTTGTTAATTAAAACGAAAATACAAAAGGGAAATAATAGAGAAAAAGTTTTAAAGATAATGAAAATAACAAAAAAAAAAAAAATTTCCAAATCAGGAATTTTTTTTAATTTCTAATTTGTGAAATAATAATTTTTCAAAATTCTAAACAATTAAAAACAAAAGAAAATTAATTATAAAAATTATTAAAAAATTTTCTTATTTGTTTCTCTAATTTTTTAGAGATGAGTTGCATTTTTTTCAAAATAAATTCTTTTGATAAAAAAAATTTTAATATTTTTTCGTAAATATTTGAAATATTGTTTTGAAAACATTGTACCGCAAATATTTGAAATATTTTTTTTTTCAAAATATTTTACTGTAAATATTTTAAATTCCTTTTTTTCCTATAATATTTTTTTAAATATTTTTCTAAAACAAAAATTTAATAAACTTTTTTTTTTCATGAATACAATGGAAGCCTAGTTTTTTTCTTGCATTATGG